ATAACAAAGTTTAGATAAAATCAGTCACCATGGGAGCATTTGATGCTGTCCAGGTATGTGAGAAGGTTGGAATTTTCTTTTGTTGTATTCCGAATTTCTCAGTTATATAACAAAGTAACAGCCTTAATGTTTCTATAAAATAGTTTCTTTACATAAAAATAGTTATTTACTTGATATCGCATTAAACCTTAGCAACTGCAGCTTCAAACCTACCATAAATCTGAAAGCTACCAAATATTTTAAAACAGCTCCCAACCTCTATCGAACAAAGATTGTAATCAAACTCTTACAGCAAAATGATTTTTGAAAACTCTGCTCTTATTTACAAAGAAGCCTTAATAAAGTCTGGACATAGCAGATAAAACTCAATTTTTTTCAGCTAATTGTTACTGCAACAATCTAAATATTCCTACATTTATGAACAATAATGTACTCTATGAGTCTTCTTGGATTAACTCTTACTTCTGATACTGGATCCACTCTGATATATATATATATATATATATATATATATATATATATATATATATATATATATATATATATATATATATATATATATATATATATATATATATATATATATATATATATATATATCACATACACAATATATATATATATATATATATATATATATATATATATATATATATATATACATATACACAATATATGTATATATATATATATATATATATATATATATACATATATACATATATATATATATATATATATATATATATATATATATATATATATATATATATATATATATATATATATATATATATATACAATATATGAATTTATCATTATACAATATATACACATCTATACAATTAAAGTGATATTAATCATATGGCAGGGAAAAATTTAACACTAAATAATAATATTGGAACTTCAAATTGTTATTTGTAAATTGTTTGAAACTATATTACAGAATGAAAAAACTTCTGTAATATAGTTTAAAACTTCTTCAAAGATTATAAAAAAATTAACTAATAAAATACATTCAATTTAACGACATAAAAGTTTACTAAATTAGGAATTAAGTTGCTAAATTAATATATATATATATATATATATATATATATATATATATATATATATATATATATATATATATATATATATATATATATATATATATATATGTATATATATATATATATATATGTATATATATATATATATATATATATATATATATATATATATATATATATATATATATATATATATATATATATATATATATATATATATATATATATATATATATATATATATATATATATATATTGAGAGTTTTGGTTTGGGCAAATTTTAATCTATCTCTGTATGTGTTATTGTGAGTACCTTAACTCTGTTTATTAATAAACACATCTTATATTAAATCAGATTAATTTTTGTTGACTAAAACTGTAGTTCTTATTAAATGTGTTCAAATAAACTTCATTGATATATGTAAATACTAAATATTTATTTTAATTTAGTGAACATCAATCTCGCCAAAATTATTCTCTTTCAAGTATTAAAATAAACAATCAAATTCAAAACCAAACCATTTAACCAAAAAATTGGTTTGGTTTTGAATAACCAAAAAATATAAAAACTATAGTATAGGTACGTGCGTATCTGGCTATTTACGGCACCGATTTATAAGTAAAAAACTGTGACCGTTTTTTTCACAGCGTGCTCGAAGTCGGTGTGGTAAAGATGTATTTATTAGTCTTTTTTTTTAGAATTTTATATCAGCTTAGACTTTTTTTGAAAAGTAGAATGTTTTAGGTTGTATAAATTATGTTTTTTTTCCAAAAGTATTAAGTTTTTCAGTGATTTTATTGCTCTTTAAAATTTTGTTCGTGTTCTGGAAGTGCATTGATATTGAAGGCATGTTGCTACACATTTAAAATTTTTCAGTCAGCTGTGTAAATCTATTTTCTATGTTCCTGCCAAATTTCATTAAAAAATATTCATGCGCAGACACCCTATTTTGCCACCTAGTGGAGGTACATTTTCCACCTTTTTTACAACTACTGTTACTGTTACACTTTATTAAACTGTTTCTGTTAATGTTACTGTTACTTCTTGATATAAATTCCGTTGTTTTTTTTACATTTACTAGTGATTTTTATTAGATTTTCAAATTTCGTTTTTGTTCTGGAGGTACATTAATATTGAAGGCATGTTGCTACACTTTTAAAATTTTCCAGTAAGCAGTATAAATCTATTTTCTATGTGCCTGCCAAATTTCATTAAAAAATATTCATGCGCAGACACCCTATTTTTCTGTACAGTGGAGGTATGTATTTCCACTTCCGTTTAGGCGGGGAGGGGGGGGGCGTAATTTGATAGTGAGCATTTGGTATATTAGATTGTTTATTCATAATAATGAGATATATAGATAGTTTTCATTAAAAAGGTATACAATTTTTTTTTCAATAGCCTTTTATTAGTAATAAACGGCTATTGAAAAAAAAAAGTTGTTAGTAATAATATTACTAACACTATTGTTGTTAGTAATAATATTACTAACACTATTGATAATTTCACACACCAAAATTAGTTTCAAGGCTAAATTCTGTTAAATCTAATTTAAAATGCTGAAATAAAAATTATGACACTTTTTTATGGTGATTCAGAATAAAATGCGAAATAATGATAACAAACAAAAACAGCATTTTCTTAATTTTTTCTGTACCCATAATTTACCATATAACCACCAACCAGCATTATTTATGATATATAAAAATTATATATATCTATAATTTTTTATTGATCAAAGGCAATTTATTAGTTAGTTAATTGTGATTGATTGCTGACCCAATTAAATAGTAATTAAATATTAATAATGATTAAATTACAATTAAAGTAGTGTTATGATCGTTGAATTTAATTTAGTGCATCATGGGACCTAAAAAAAAAACAAATCTATTTTATGGTAAAGCTAAATCTTATTTAGTTTGTAATTTTCCAATACCAGCTCATTTAAATATGGACTGTAGAAATGGACATGTACTGCATATATTGGCAACTAACAATGATTCATACCAAGTAACTGTAGAACTAATCAGTAAGTATTTTAACATCAACATTTCTCCCAATCAGATTCTGCAACTAGTTAGAAAATCAAAAGTCTTTGTAAAAGCTTTTTCACGAAATTCAAAACAATTTATTGACATCTGCAACATGCTCTTTGAATACCAACCAACAACATCTGCTGTGACTCAAACATCACAGTTAATCACAACCTCTAATCACATAGCTACGTGTTCTTCATTTTTTTCTCAGCAAATCACTGTTTCGTCTCTATCAAATAGTGACTCTTCTCAAGAATCAATATCCAGGTTGAGAACTGACCAGGTTAGTCCCAGGAAAAAGAATATGAGAAAGAGATTAACCATTTTGGAAAAAGAAAATGCAGTTAAAAAGAGAAAACATAAAGAAGATCTTAAAGGTTTAAGAGAAAAGGCAAAGGCTAGACCATACAGATTAAAATATCTAAATCAAGTTATTGCTCGTAAGGAAAAGATAATTCATCACCGTAGAAAAAAATTAAAAGAAAATTTTTTAAATATACAGTTAAAAAAACTTCAAAATCAAATTTTTTATTTAAAACAACAGTTAACATTCACCGAAACCAAGTTTTTTAATCAAAAGATAATGTTATCCCAACAACTTGCTGACAAAAATTCTGCAATTCTTGTACTTCAAAATGAAAAGTTAGAAGATATTCAGCAAGTAACACAAAACACCAAAAATGAAAAATGCTACTCAGCAGATATCAGAACACTTATATATGACATGCTTGTGTGCCAAGTTCCTACACATAGTATGAGAGCAGCAAGAATCCCTTATCTCTACTTAAACGAAAAACTGATTTCTTTGGTAATGATATTAAAGATGTTGTTTTTGATTCAATAATCAGCTTTTGCCCAGTAACTAATGAAATGAGTAAAGCATTAGGTGACTGTCTTAATGCTGTTATTAGCGTCATTGACAGGCAGTACAAGCGTCAGTTCGAAATGAGTTCCAATGATCTTCTTAAAGACCAGACTAAGTCAGCTAGGCTTCACAACATTGATTCAGAAGAACTTATGGGTATGTTTAGCGCTGCAAAGCACAAAGCTCCTAATGCTACTCTTTGTTTTCTTTTTTCGAAACTTCGTGCTTGCAAAAATAAAACAACTGCTCTGCTTTGTAAAAAGCCAACTGATATTCAAAACAAGTTGATATTATGGGCTATCTCTAATGCCAGGAAAAATTGATTTACAAGTATGCAATGTCATAATGAACTGAAGTTAGAACTGCTAAAACGAATGGCAGATAAAATTCAGAAAAGGGAGGACAAAGACCGCAGAAAGGTAGAAAAAATATTAAAAAGTTGCATGCCCGATCAGGTAAAAGAAATGTTTCCTGACCTAGAAAATAACGAGGCCTCAGATATTGAAGAAATTCTTATTGGAGCTGCTATTGGAAGAAGTATTTGCCACATGTGGTTCGATAATGCCAATAACACCCATGAGGTATATTACGGCAGAATTGTTAGCATTAAAAAGAAGAACAATGATATATATATAGTTTCTTATTGGAAACCAAATGAAAATGAAGATGATAACGGTGTTGAGTATGATATGAGCAAATATCAACTTTCTGCAGACATAATAAGCGGTGATATGGTGATAACATAACAGAATTGTGTAATAATAAGGTATATTTTATTTTAAGTATTAGTATGTCTTATAAACTTGCATTAACAGATAATATTTACAGATAGTAGGTGAATTTCTTTTTTTTTTTTTTAAATAAATTTTGCAATTCCTAATATATATCTAATTCCTTCCTTTTTTTGTAGTATTATAAAAAGATTTATAATTTTTAAATTTGTTTTTATATATACATATATTTATATAGAAGTTTAATTTTAGGTAGTCGGGTAGTTACCGACATCCAACAACCAGGGTTGACCTGGTTGTAACGTGCTTTGGGAAACCAAAGCTCATTTACTTTTTGACATAAGCAAATTGCTTGGCTTATGACAATTAATGTTTATCATTGATGTTTATCATTATCAATGATGGCAATGCATTTTTCTATCAAGTATAACAGAGTTTCGCTTGCGTGGATTGAGAGATGTTAGTGTTCCATTACAATTAATCCCTTTAAAATTAAAATTTTTATTTATTATTTATTTGCTTGCCATTACCAGAGAGTAATGACCAGATAACTTTTTCTTCATTATAATTTTTAATCAAATCTTTTATATTTCAGGTTAAACAGTATTGAAGGGTCTGCTATCGATTTTTTTGTTTGGTAATGGGAAGTTTGTTGTGTATCAGGAGTTAAGTGATTTTGAATTTTTTAACTTAATAAATCATTCTTATATTTAGTAATCTCTAATGGGTTTTTCAGTTATGGTGCTAAATATCTAATGCATTTCCATTTATTTTTTATTGCAAGGTTTTAACAATAATGGCAATTTGCTACTGTGGATATTTATGTTAAAGACCTCAAGATTATATTTATTAATTCAGTAATTACAGTTAAATGTTAATTCATTATACATTAGTTAATTGTTAGCCTTAATTTTTATTTTTTTTTTAATTTTATATCTGATATATTTTTTCTTATTGCAAGGTTAAACAACATGATGAAAACTACATGGTTGCTTCAGTGGATGTTGATCTTTTTCATATCAAGATTAAACCGGTTAGATCATATTTATTTAGAGGTTTATTATGTTTATTAATGCAGTAATAACAGTTATATATTATTTATTATCCGGGACATAGGGCATCCTTATTAAATAGGTATTGCGATATTAGTTTTGAGAAATTTTTACTTTATTTTAGATATCATTGGATGTGGTTTCCTTTGCGTACTAAAGAATCGACTCTTTCTATCTATGGATGTCACAGTTTTGTTTGCTTCAAAATCAAGGCTTTTTTCAAAGCCACAATTCTGTTAAAAACATTACTGAGCAAAAAAGAAATTTTTTTGTTAAAGAAGTGTGTTTGAAAATAGTTTTAGTTTTTGCGGTTTGTTGGAATTTATATATAATTAGATATATGGGGCTATGGAAGGGAAAAGGAAGGGGAGCAGTGGTGGACATCCCCCCACCCACCCCACCCATTTGTTTAGTTGGATATTTTTTTAGTAGGTTTTTAGTTAAACTCTATGATGTAATTGACACGGCTTTTAAAGTGGGGAGGGGGGCCAACTCCCTAATTTAAAAAAAAACAACCTATATTTCTAAAAAAAAGGTCCTCGAAGCAATTAGTGGGGGAGGAGGCATAGCCCCCTATGGTGTCGACGGCCATGAAAGAGGGAGGTGAGACCCCTTCCGTGAATGAATTTTTTGTTTTTTTAGTTGGCAAAATATAACTTTATATCTATATCTTTCATTGAAAAAGATAAAAATAAGCATAAATAGAGAGCGAAAACGCTAAGGCTTTAAATGTCTTTAAAGTTCATCTATACGCTATAGAAAACCTAGCCTTGGTACATATTTAATAACATAAATATATATAACCTTAACCATTATTATGTATAGATGTATATATATATATATATATATATATATATATATATATATATATATATATATATATATATATATATATATATATATATATATATATATATATATATATATATATATATATATATATATATATTGTAAGTATCGTTAAAATACACGATATTTTATTTAAAATTTTGTTATAAATTTTAATATTAGGTTTTTATCATTAAAAATATTTTGTTATAAATTGTTAAAAAAATTTTGTTATTTTAAAAACTTTTTTAAAAATGTTATTAACTCGTTTTGCACATTTCACTAAGCAAAATCATGCGCAAATTAACAATAACGTTCTACAACAAAGCTACCGTTAGCCGAATGCGAGTTTTTTACGATGGTTGCATTTTTCCTTAGCAAACCTTCATAAAAAAAAATGTTACTTAAATAAGCATAACTTTTTTTGTAATTGTTCGTTTTTCATAAAATTTTCACCATTTTAATATAAATTCAAAGCTCTTTCGAACCATAAATAATACTTAAATGAATAAATGGTTTAAAATTTTTACACACGTACCTATATAGTATTATATTTGTACTAACCTTGAAAATAAGTTAAGCAAAACTATTTAATTCATTAAAAAAACTTATAAGGTGAAGAATGCTCTTATATAAGCAATCTTATATAAGTTAGGAAGTTTTATCTATGTCATTTATATCTATGTTGATAATCTCATATAGGTATGAGATCTTAAATAGTTACGTAGTTGTATGAGATCTTAAATATCCTGAGATAAGATCTCTGTTTTGATTGGACAAAAAACTAGTTTCAAATAGTCCTCATCTAAAAAATATCCTTCTAATATATCATATGCGTTTTACTAACATCTCATATACAACTCCTAAAGTCCGGCTATGGAGAAACATTTTTTCGGACCTAGTGCAAGATAAATTTATCCTCCAATCAAAACAGGGATCTGATCTCAGGAAATAGCCGCTCGTCACATCCATTTATTGGTAGCCTCGTTACTTTTCACATTACATCTTTGCTGCGTTTTATGTCCAAAAATAAACATAATTTCCGGATCAATACCCGGAACCTGAATTGTGATCATGAATAATCATAATTCCGGGTTCCGGGTACTCACTAAATTTTAATAATGTTTTATTGTCTTTTATTTTAAAGTTTAAATGGTTTATGTTTGCGAAATTGCATTTGTAAATAAAATACAAATAATTTAAATACAAAAAAATATTAAAATTTAAATTGAATTTCAACAATGTCATTAAAAATCATAGGAATATTCAGTTTAACACCAACTTGGACATCTTCCATATATAAAATCATTACGTAATGCTTCATAAAATGTCGAGCAGCACGTGCACAATCACATCTTAGTATTTTTTCGTCGTTGTACCAATTCTTTCCAAATACTGCATTCGTTGTTCCATAATCCCAGCACCGAATACAGATGGAATGCAAATTGCATTTTTAACGTTACTTATAATTTTAGACCAGATTATTTCCACGGGGTGAAAACAATCTAGTCTAGACTGTAGAGTACATTCGACTGTAGGTCCAAAACATTACAAATTAGCAAGAGAATTTTTAAACACCCTTTCCAAACGAGCGTAACATGGAACATTGTCTGTTACAATGACCAAACCCTCTGAAAGACTCCCGGATGTTACCCACTTGTTAAACAGACAATACCTATTCGTTACAAGAATCTGCATTAAATGATTCTCTGTGAGTTTCTATCATGACAATATTTGTTGTTGACATAGCTGTAATCAAATGTATGCTTGCATTTTTTGAAGCATTTCCATTATCGCTCTTCTTTTCTGTTTAGCACATCCTTGCGTTTTTCTACAAAAAAGGTTAAAATTTGTTCATCCAATCAAACTATTTGATGACTATTGGTGATATGTTTTACTTCATCTTAAACTCTAAGTTAAAAAAGAGATAATCACTAAGTTAAAAAATAACTGTAAGTTATTAAAGGTAAAAAGCAAACTGAAAGAAATTGCAGATATGTCGAGAAGAAACGACCTGAGTTGACTGAGACCTATGAATTAATGGCTTGAAAGAAAACAAAAATGAAAGTTGGAGTGAGTGAAGCAAAACTTTTGAAGTTATTTAAAGAAACTCTTCGATTGAAAGAAATCAAAATAGAAAGAAATCATAGAACTGGAACTAGAGACGAAAAAAAAGTCAGATTTATAGTAATAAAATTGCTTAATTACAAAGATAAGGAAAACATCCTAAAAAATTAATCAAAATTAAAAGGAAAAAACGTTTATATCAACGAGGATTATTGTGCAGAGACGGAACAAATAAATAAAGAATTACGAACGGAAATGAAAAAGGCTCCAGAAAGTGGGAGTTTTGCTTATATATCATACGAAAGATTAATGGCTCGTGAATGATCTCCAAAAGAAAAGTAATATTTTATGGTTCTTTTAGCTTAACGGTACCTTTTATTTTTATTTATAATAGTTTATTATTATCATTTTTTTTTGTTCTAATTTAGCTTTTCGAAATGGAGAACAATATCTCTAATAACATAAATATTAATGCTGAAAATACCAACACTATTGATAATAGGTTTGTTAAAAACCTTTTTGAAAATGATTACTATTCAATATCTGAAACTAGTCAATATCTTTGTGAGAATAAGAATAGATTTTCAATTTGCATATTAATATTCGAAGTATGAATAAAAATTTCGAGAACTTTAAATGTTTATTGGAAGAATATTATGAATTTATAATATTTTGTCTCACATAGGGTTGCCAGACGTCCTGCAAAAGGAGAAATATTCTCCTTTTTTATCCTTTGTCCTCTGTCCGGCAGGCAAAGCTGAAAGCATTGAGAATGTCCGGCTTTTTTAATATTTTAAGTTTTTAAATTTTTCTTATTCAGTTTTTTCTTTTTACGTATATTTTCATATTTAAACTTATTAATTATAAAAATTTATTTATGTTTATTTTTTTTACATAGGTGCAGCTTTTGCGTGAATCTGACGAACATCCTAATGTTATTAAATACTATTGCAGGCTAGGAATTTGTAAATTCTGTTTTGAATTCTGTTTTTTTTTTTTTTTACGTAAAGTTATTTTTAATTACTTTTTTAATATTTTAAGTTTTTCAATTTTTCATATCTAGTTTTTTTCTTTTTACGTATATTTTCATATTTAAACTTAGCCATTCTTAAAACTGTATAAAGTTTTTTTTAACTGTATAAACTTTAAGTTTATACAGTTAAAAGTTTTTTTTGTTGTCCTACTCTTCATTAAAACGTCAAGTTCTACTTTTAACTCAGCGCAATTTCGCTTTTCCAATTCGATTGCAATGTTTATTTTGTCTTAATGTCGACTTTAGTTTATCAAAATTAAAACAAAAAAAAAAAATCGAAACAAAAGTTTGAACTTCATTCCGTTCGAAATTAACTGTTCTCAAAACTGTATAACTTTTTGGGTTTTTTTGTTGCTCTAAAGACGGTGAAAGAATTAAAAATAAAAAAAAAGAATTTTTTAATTAAAACGTTTTTAACTCAGCACGTTTTGCCTTCAGTCAGTTTTCGATTACGCTCTTATAAAAACAACATCACTCAAATTGAATTACGGCTTTTCTCTAAAAGTGACTTCAATTTCTTCAAAGGGAAAATCCAAGTTCTCAAGTACTTTGAAACATAAATATTCATGCTTTGCTGATGGACTCAATGAGAATGAGGCAAAGCGATACAATTTGTTACTTGTCCGTCGCTAACAAAGGAGCTACTGACTTAGAGCCTCATGTTAACAGTGAGAAAAATATAAAC